CTTCTCTAAAGACTCATATGTTAAGAAATTCCTGTCAAGCTATTGCAAAACACTTGTACACAAAAGTCTACACATTAAACTGACAATGTTAATGTAAGTGTATGCCAGGGCTGGACAATTCCCAGGAGCCAGGTTCTCTCCAGTTGTTGCCAATGGAGCGGCCTCCTAAATAAAAATATCCTGCTGGCTCCTGGATTGGACAGAATGGCTCCTGAATTCCAGATAAATGTATCCACCCCTGGTGTATGCCCAGCCAAAACGTATTTCCTTAGTTCTGGAGCCGCTGCTCTCCAACGCTCTATTAGAAAGATCCACACTTATTTCCTGTCCTGCTGACATTGTACCAGATAGGAAGGGGAAACCTCCAGCAGCAACACAGACAGGACTGACATTTATTCTCTTCAGTAGGGTAGAGTAAGGGCCCATTCACACCATGTCCGGATCATCTCTAGCCCAGACCAGATTGTTTCCAGACCCAAAATGCATCCTAATGTAACCCTGTGCTATTTCTGGCCTCTGTTCACACCAGCGCAGTCTGTTCCAGAGCAGACCAGAAAAATACTGCGTGTCCTATTTTGTCTGGTCTGGAATGCAGTGGAACGCATACAAAATGCATACGAACGCACCTGTAAAGACTATTTTAAGCAAAAAATAATTTCAATGCGGCAAAAAAGCAATGCACTGCGTTCCAGAAAATGGTGTGAACCTGCCCTAAAGCCAGCCTTACACTGTAAGAAATGTGGCCGATTCAAAGGGATTGCCCAAAATTCTAATAGTGTGTGGGTCGGCCAGCACCACCCACCTCCACAAAACTTCAATTAAAACAAAGGGGCCAGGCAAAATTTGTTGGTCAAATAGCAACTGCAGCCAATCAGCTGCAGTTAGTGTTCCGGTAGTCATGGTCGCTGGCTGTCCGAGTACAATAGCCGGCAGGGGAGATTCCTCCATAAACACTGTTTACGAGGGGATTTTCTCTTGTTCATTCCGTTGTGTGGCCAACTTAAAGTAGTATTACACTCAATACTAAAACCAGATCAAACTTGTATACATTTCCCGGAAAAGTATTTCTTTAAGCTTTTTGCCTAAACACTTACAGTCATTGGGGGGAATTTATCAAAATTGGAGCAGACAAAACCTGGAGCAGTTGCCCATAGCAACCAATCAGCTTCTCTCTTCAGTTTGTTCAGCTAATTATTGAAAATAAAAGATAGAAGCTGATTAGTTGCCATGTACAGCTGCTCCAGATTCTGCCTGCTCCAGTTTTCATAAAAAGCCCTCACTAGGTTTCTAAATAGATGGCTCCAACTTTCTCAGCTCAACTTCTCTGAACTTCCTGTCCAGTACAAGATTACAACGGACAGCACAGTCTCCAGCACCTGTCCATTTACTAGTTTGGCGGAAGGGACGAGGGGCTGGCAGGAAGTAGGAGAATGACTTGCCCTGCTGTGTCTGCTTGTATAGACAAATACCAATTAGCAGCACACACAAGGGTAGGGTGGCTCCATAGCACCCTGCAAGGGAAAGGAGCCACCTTAAAACATGATATTGGGCCAGGGCTCAGGAAACCAGTGGATTCTGCAGGAAACAAACATTTAAACTTCAAGGAGCAGCATCCATTGTAAGTGATTTCATGACCACTTCAAGCCTAAAAACCTGTCAGAAATACAAATCTGTCTGTGTCCTTGTTGAAGATATTCCCTCCTGTTCACTTCCTGTCTGGTGAAAAGCATTGTTAAGCATAATAGTAAATAAGGGTAAATAAAAAACCTGGCAGGAATTCTAATCCTTCCCCCCTCTATCCAAAACTAGAAAAAAAAATCGACCTTCACTTTAAAGGATAAGTATTAAAAGTTAGTACTGCGCCCATGTCAATACAATCAAAAATAAATAAGAACCTTTGTTAAACAGGCAAACATATTATTAATGCCCGGGGTAGCATGAGGACCTGACATTCCCCAATTCATGCACCAAGTCAGTACATACCAAGCCGGCCACCCCTGAACAGGCCTGCTATATCCACTTCACAGAGGAAACCTTTAATATTGACATTACTGATGCAGGGGAGGAGGGAGCAGATGTGCGATAAGACTTTCCAAACCAAATGTCATTTTCGGACCTTTAGATTTTGTTTGCTCTGTACACAGAGGAAAACAACTAAACCATCACATTCTCAAACAATTCATCCCCACACAGCTACCGCCTCACCCATCACTGGCCCCTCCCTTTTAGATTGTAAGCCCTCAGGGGCAGGGCCCTCCTTACTATCTTGTCTTGAATTGTATTGTGATTGTAATGTCTTCCTTATATTGTAAAGCGCTGCGCAAACTGTTGGCGCTATGTAAATATCATCAGCCCTGATAACACTTCAGCGTTTAGTAGGGTGAAGTTCACAGTTCCAAAATCCTACGCTTTATAATAGTGTCTGTAGCCCAATGTATGAGTGCTCAGATGTCTGTAGCCCAATGTCTGACAGTCAAAAAGGTACATGTGCTACTTCTGAAGCAGAATGGGTTGTTTTGACCCATAGACTTCAATGGGAGAGCCTGAAAATATCTGAAAATGAGCATTTTCTGAATAAAAACAATCATTTCCTTCTCCAAGTAACTAGCTTTCTATTGGTAAAAACAAAAATACTCAGGGCCTGCTCACACATTGTCCGGGCCAGAAAGTTTTTTTCTCCGCACCTGAAATGCATCCCAATGTATTCCTATGGTATTTCTGGGCTCTGCTCACACCAGTGCAGCCCGTTCAGGTGTGGAGGAAACAAATTGCTGCATGGACCATTTTCCCTGATTGCACTGCACTGGAACAGAGGGCATTCCTGTACCTCGCGTTCCAGTGCAGGCGATCCCACTGAGGGCGGGGGGGCGTGTCTGCGGTGCCATTGACATGAATGGCACTGACACGCCCCCTCCCGCCCCAGGACACTGCCCGGCTTGGTCCATGCGATCCAGTGGGTTCCGGGCTCGAAAGGCAACGCAACGCACTGGTTATGGTGTGCCTGGGCCCTTACTACTGAGGAAAGCCAAACAAAATAAGAATCTGCCACGTAGATGTCCTTGGTATTCAGCAGTTATTTCCCATATTTATCTGGTTTCTATACAAACACTCTTATAATACAAGCAGCAGCAGCAAAGTTAAACAGTGTGCTTACATTTCACATACACAATATGACAATGACTTGTGACGTGCCCTTTCACATGCAAAACACTCCGGCAGCCTATACACTGTACAAAGGAAATGGAGTATTACATCCAAACACTGAACTCATTCTCTGAACTTCAGAAGCATGCATAACCTAATGACAAAATGGACAATATTATAGAGATTATTGGATGAGGTTCATACATCTGTGTAAAAGAAATACATTAAACAGAAAAAAATAATAATAATTATATATATTGTAATATTAAAGTAAACAAAATATTGTATTGCTCCAAAGTGCTGTGTTTATCTTTCTCGTTGGAAAAGGTGAAATATTTATTTGCAACCGACATGGAACAGCCCAAAGTAAAGCCGAGTTCACATGGTTTGGTTTGAATATTCAGACAAAATTCAGAAAAATCATTTGTGCGAGCATTCAATGATGACAACTAGTTTTGTTCAAAAACCCTTTAAAGTTTCATCCAGACCTGCTACTTGAATGGAATCCCAGATGTATTACTCAGGTTTCTTTTATTGCTTAGAGAAATCAATGAAAGAATAATGCAAAGTTTATTTCAATAAAGGAACTGTTAATGTATTTCTTTTACACAGATTTGTCTACCACCCCTCTCTGCCAGTCCCTCCACTGGCTCAGTGTCTACCACCCCTCTCTGCCAGTCCCTCCACTGGCTCAGTGTCTACCACCCCTCTCTGCCAGTCCCTCCACTGGCTCAGCGTCTACCACCCCTCTCTGCCAGTCCCCCCACTGGCTCAGTGTCTACCACACACACACAAATCTGTTTATAAATCCAATTCTGCATACAATACACTATAGAGAAACCTTTGTTTGTATTGTTCTTACATAATCCTTTAAACAAATCTTTATGACTGTGAATGTTCTAATTCCAGATGAAACTTATCACATCTGCATTACAAGTAATATGATTTTTCATGACTTAGGACCACATTAATGATACCATATGGCAACACACTGGACATAACTTGCGCGCTGGCATGCTTTTCAATGCGTTGCTATAACACATAGCAGTGCTTGGGTTTGTTCTTTTTTATGTTCTATGTAAATTCTATGCACTGTGCTTCATTTGATCACCAGCTGCCATAAAATAATGCCTGCACCGCAGGACGTTGGTGTGGAGAGACCCTGTACAAAGTGAGGCTTTGTACCCTCTATACATCTGGCCTGTACATCTTCCCATTGGAGCTGGTGTACCTGCCCTAGCAGGAAAAACTTTCCAACCGGGGCTATTGACTTCTCTCCTCAATCGCTTTGTCCCCATTAACTGTTTTCTAACTGAAGGAAAGTGAAGGAAAGTTCTAAAACGAAAAGTTTTCTAATAAAATTCTACAGGTGTATGGTCAGCTGACGTCATGTACATAAACCTGAAAACAAACAAAAAGGTAAAAAAGGCTATTCTACTGGTCCCTACATTGGAAGTGATGGCTGGTAACCCAGAGCAACCAATCAGAAATCAGCTTTCACCAAGTTCCAAGCAATAGAAAAGCTGCCTGACAGCTGACCACGCCCCCTCTGTACTGTGCTAATAAGCAAGATGTGCCCGGGAACAGTGAAAACATCCCAGGACTCCGGCAATGACAGAGTTAAGCCGTGCTCAGCCCGGGACTCCACGCTCGTGTTTCCTCATGATAAGGGATTTCCAAACTCTTTCACAACCTCCCTCCAGACTTCCGCATACGGCCACGGAGCCAACCCAGCCCGAAGGGGGTCCCTAGACCGGGGTGTACAGGAAGACACAACGTGGGGTCCCCGAAATCACCCCACGATCATACTTTGCTGACAGCTCCTCCAATGTCACAATCACAAGAAGTCACATTACCGAGCAGCTGAGGACGGGTCATTCCCCGGGATTGCTGTGCCACATATGATCGGCGTATGAGAGCCTCAGACGTAATCTGTCTCCGGCTTAGGGAACCTAGGAATCCACCCCCGCTATCTCTCCATAGCAACAGTAGCTACACCGGGGCCACCCCCTGCCTGACGCAAGCAGCCAGAATATGGGAGTCAGCCAGGAGGCCACAAATGTCAGCAGTCAAAACAAGTTCCCTCCCCCTCTGCACAATGATTAACCCTTATCTACTCCATTCACCACAGTGTCAGCACACTGAATGACGTCTACGGGAAGCCCACATCCACTCATTTCTCATGTTTACTCTAGACAGGTTTCCTAACCCTTTCGTTGCCGGGCCCTGCTCTCCACTCCTCTATACGGGGATCCTAACCCTTTCCCTGCCGGGCCCTGCTCTCCACTCCTCTATACAGGGTTCCTAACCCTTTCCCTGCCGGGCCCTGTGCTCCACACCTCTATACTGGGTTCCTAACCCTTTCCCTGCTGGGCCCTGCGCTCCACTCCTCTAGACAGGGTTCCTAACCCTTTTCCCTGTGCTCAAATCCTCTATACAGGGTTCCTATTGATCAGACCCGTGTTAAGTGAAGGAACAGTGTGGGGGTAGCCCCGCTGAAAGGGTTATATTTTTACAATTCCTGGAGTCCTCTTTAACCCATTGATTACTCCCATTAGCCTAAACTGGTCGATTTATGAACTCTTTTTTTCTTTCAGGTTTTTTTTCTTTATTATATCTTGTTTTTTGTTTTGTTTTTTATATCAATGTTTATTTCAATTATTATAGATTACAGAAGTGGACAACAGTCAGTAAAACTTGTAAGTACAGTGTTGTAGCAAGAAAGCCATATAAAAATACCTATGTGTACACAAGTTCTTGTCAAGTAAAAAAAAAAAACACACAATTAAAAGAAGAACGCTGGGCATTTTAAAAATTAACCCTTGCAGTGGGGCTACCCCCGCAGTGCAAAGGTTAAGTGCTCATTTTGGTCTGGGGACTAAAATAAAGCGGATATGTTCACCTAATGCTCAGTCCCACCAGGCTGGGACCACTGACCATTATCGTCTAATACAGGTTCACAGAATTGCATTGGACGTGAGGATGCAGAGGGACATTCCCCAGCCAGAGTGAAGGGGAGGGAGATGAGCACTCACCATTGCGAGATTGAGGACCAGGTGTGTGTATCTTCTTTATTCTGGCCCCTTGACCAAAAGGAGCACTTAACCCTTGCAATGAAGGGGAACCCCGCTGCAAGGATTAGTTTTTAAAATGACCAGAATTTTTCTTTAAACAATAACACAACAAAAACAAAACAAGGTGTTGCCTTCCTATACTCCTCGGCTCCACCTAGTGGCCAAAATACAGTATAACATCACATTACATTCAGCCTGAAAATAAAATATACCAAGAACTTTCGTTTTTGCCTTCGTTCACACAGAATGAACGTTCACAAAAATCTGCAAGGCAAATGGCTCTGTGAATTCTTTATAAATAGAGACCTTAGTGTTTTCAGTATGTGCAGTAAAGGAGTGTGGATGGTATGGCGTTAGGCAATAGGTGCAGGAGAAGAGTGTGGATGGATTGACAATGGCCAGTATGTGCAGGAAAGGAGTGTGGATGGTTTGGCAATGGTCAGTATGTGCAGGAGAAGACTATGTCAGCCAGCACTATAAACAGAACAGTGTAGACAGTATGATGGCAGACAGTATGTGCAAAAGAGAAGTGCAGAGGGTATGACAATGGGCAGCATGTGCAAGAAAGGAGTGCCAGAGGGAATGACAGCAGGTAGTATATTCAGTAGAAGAGTATCTGTGGATATAAAGGCAGGCATTATGTGCAGGAGATGAGTGTAGAAGATATTAGGATTGGCAGTATGTGCAGTAGAGGAGTACAGAGGGTATAAGGGTAGACAATTTAAATAATTATTGGAAGATAATACCAAAATAGCACAGCTTGTACCAGATAAACACATTAATAGGTAAATTGCAATAGTGAAAAACGGCTCTGGAGCAACTGGTTAAAATATAAGCCTCAAAAGCCTCAATATAAAATGCAAAGCTAATAAGAACTACATGTAATGTAAAAACAGTCATTTTATAGCACTGCTGATTATTGTCCAAAATCAGGGACATTTCCAGGAAAAATATCTTTCCAAACTTGGGTCTTTCTCTGGAAATCAGAAAACATATATAAAAATGTTTTTTTCCCAGAGGGGTTGATATGATGATAAAAGCAGATGAGAATGGGCCAGACTGTAGAACTTCATCAGAAACAAACCAACAGGCTTTTCAGTTGAAAATGACCAGGGATCACTGTGGCAACAATAACGGAGATCAGCAAATATGGATTCAAAGAGGAACTCCAAGAAGTTGTAATCTACAGCACCCTTAGATGCTAATGCAATGTGCAATTTGCACTTACCTTCAGTGGCGTCACAAGAGGGGTGCAGCCCACACCGGGTGACACCATCAGAAAGGGTGACACCAAAATAACAGTAATTTTGGTGTCACCCCGTTAAAAGTCGGGCACTTTTTTATGGCCTGAAAGCCTGACAGCAGCAGGAGATGGGGTGGGGGTGACACGACACTTGGTGGCATGCCTGATCATGCTGGGTCAATATCCCCTCCTCTCTTTGCTGGCATCCATTACCAAGATGGCCACCTGCAGTGAAGAACTCTATGAAAGCCGTATACCTGCTGTTGCACGCAGCTGCTGGCCTTGGCGCATCTTGAACTGCAATAGTTGGCTACATAGAAGTCTATAAAGACAATTACTGCAATTCCAGCAATGTGCCAGTAAACAAAATTTTAAAAGGTAAGCAGCGGCGGCAACAGGGTAGGTGTCAACCGATGATGATATTGCACATGTGCAATGACGTCCGTGGTGTGACGACATCACGCATACTTCATGTTTTCAAGTGTTCCTTTTAGATACTTATTTTCCAATAAGTTGCCGATGTGCATCTCTTGATCACAAATTCTGTTATGACTGCAGATCTCTATTAAAGTGACATTAAGGGATCCTTTTTTTCCCCCCTCCCCCTAATGTTAATGTAAGCACTTCCCTTACATGATGTCTCTTAATTTGATGATCTTCTTTCCTGTAGTTTTCAGCCTTCTCTCCAGTACTGCGGCGGGTGTCCGATCCAGCGCTGACTCCTCTGTCCTTGCTGGCACTTCCTGTCCCACGGTGTCTGCATGCGGGTCCATATACTTACGTTGTGTCTCTTGCCCGAAAATCCAAACTGTGCATGCGCCCGCCCCAAGCGTTTTTTTTTTTTACTTTTTGCATATATCTACAGAGGCTTTAATTATACTTTAATGTTGCTGTGGTATAATGCTCAGCACACGGATGTATTTGATCAGGTCTGCTCTTGCTTTCCTTTGGAAGCATTCCCAGTTCACCTTGTGAACAGGAATCCATTACATCACAATTTCTAAAACTGTTTATATATCATCAAATAACTATTTGATCATGATTGCTGCAGCAACATCTTTGCCATACAGAAATCAGATATTTATGGAGCTAATAAAGTACTTTTAGGTCCCCCAGCTGATCATGTGAGGCAGCCTTCTTTTGTATCCATAAACAATCGCAATACTACACCTGGCAGGAGAGTGCATAAAGCACAACTCAAGCAAATAAAAATACAAAATAATTAGCCCAATAAAAGAGCAAATAAAAAAGCATCTTTTGCTGCAATACTTCCCTTCATTTTGGAGCTGCCCCTCACACTTTTCTACCACCGAATGTCCTCAGTCTTCAGGTTTACAACCAGCATATTTTAATCCACTATCTCCGAGCCCAAGGCCGTCAGGGACCCACCCCTGCCTGTGACCAAAAAGTGAAGGAGAAGCAGCACAGTGATCAATTCATCTCTCTGTCACTCTGCTTTGTTTTCCTATCCGCATGGTTCTCGTCAACACATGAATGGATTAGTTCCATTTCGCTGCTTCTGTATTTCCCACTCTGAGCTCTACTGTAAAGAGACTGCATTGAGGCTGATACCAAGTCAAATACATGTACTCACTATTAAAATACAATTTAATGATGTATTATTGGTTACAGAGCTACAGTAATGTGTCTATTATACCTGCTTAGAGATCAGCCTTAAAAACTTAGAATTGATTCAACCATAGCAGAGTAACAGAGCATATCAAATATCCACTGAACCATTTATAACTCATTTGTACTTGGGCTGGCACCACTAAGGAAATGCTGTTAGGAGGTACAAAATTGTCTTGGTGGACCCTGGCAGCAACTGTCTGTCAACTTAATTGCATGCCAATTCACACTCATGCTGTGAGGTAACATGCATGTTACTGCACATTACTGCAATTCACATACATGCAGAGTTGTGGTGGTCTGCAGCTACACACATTAGTCCTGTTCTACTTTGGCTTTGCTGTTTTGCCTTAAAAGCCTATTCAAAAACGAATGGGTTGACTTACCACAGCTTGTGTGCAATAAAGGTAATGCAAGGTCAATATGTAAATGGGACCTAAAACACAGCATGAAGATGTCAGGAAGAAGTGACAATGGTCTAATTAGCATTTTGAGGTTAGAAAAAACAAACGCATCGGATCGTATTAAAAAAACATCGCACTGCAACTGCGCAGACGCACACAGTACTGATGCAGTTCTGGTGTGAACTAACCCTAATGGATACTAGGCATCACTGATTGGATGAGAGGCGGATTGTGACATCACTTCATCCAAATAGAATGCCTTGTATTCATTGATAAAAAACACTAGGTGTTCCTTTTAATGCAACTGTGCTGAGCATGTGACTCCCAGTGTTTTCAGAGCAGCCACTCAGCACAGTGCAGTACAGGACCCAGAAGATACTAGCCAGCACTGTAGCAACTTCAACAGTGCCTTCAACAGTGCTTTACAGGATCCCCCTGGGCCCATCAGGTATGATTTATGTACACTGGGACAAGCTGGACCAATGCAAGTATGCAAAATAATGCATACCTGGAGTTGAGCTTTAAAGCGATATTAAACCCTCCTTTTTTCATATATATATATTTGCTTTAGGGATGTCCACCTATGCCTGAGGCTGTTGTTTTTCTTTAAAATCGTTTAATTCCTCGTTTTAAAGTCCCCACAGCGTTCCCCCAGCCCCCTTTATGGGTGCCACCATTGTT